CTCTGCTGAATCACTGTGGAAGTACAGCTTGTTAGCACCAGCATCACGTAAAGCCTGTGGACAAACCAAAAGAGAAGGTGGCTTTTCAAGAAATCTTGTTTGAAACATATCTCGGCACTGAAAGGAGTCAGATTTGACAGCCCATGCTGCAGCTTTATCCTCAGCAAGAGAGGATGTCCCCTGGCTGCTAGCAAGATCTGACATGGTATTTTGAGATGCAGGGCAGATGACTCCAAAGGGGCATTTTCTCTCACTGCCAGCTTGATCTTCTCTGTCTGAAGGCTATCTCACAGTCTTACACTTGCTTGTGCAAAGGTTTCCTGCCCTATCAGAGATCCCCGTCCTTTAAAGAAGGAAGGTAGGTGGGGTGGTGAAGGGGGATAACAGCAGCAGGGAGGTCGGAGGAAACCAGATGTGACAAGTGCTGAAGCAGAACTTTTCAGCGTTGTGGTGGCTCCTGGCCAGATGAGATCACGGCTCCTACAGAATCTTGTCTCCCTTTATTTCCTTAATATTTGACTCTCCTGCTTCCTTCAGGAGCAGGAATCACTAATCTTCGCATGCTTGCTTTGAATACCCTCTACGTTTCAAACAGCAGTGCAAACAGTGGCGGAGGGGGGTAGCTGACAAATGCTGGTGTTTATGGCCTGCAAATGGAATCCCTCTAAGCCTGTTTGGAAAACTAACTGGGGATGAAGTCTGGATTAGAAGAGACTTTTCCAGCTCTCATCCCTGTGAATTTATGCTAAGATTATTTAAAGGAGGGTGGGGGGAAGACATGACTTGGCTTGTCTCCTTTTTGGTGCTCAGCGTTCAGTGTCGTAGGTTAGCCATGGGGTCTGGGAGTGGGCGAGCACCCGCCTCCTGATACAGGGAACCCTTTGAAGGTCTGAAGTTAAGCATCAAAATCCTTCTTAAGAGCACAGACCCGGGCTGGTGCGGGCTTTGTAGGCGTGCTTAATGCCTGGCTGACGTTAACCTTGCAGCAGCAGGCTGGCAGGCTGCATCAGAAAAAGGGGATCCAATTGCTTTGCATTTTGGGGTGAGTATAAAGACAGGCAGGCAGCAAACATGCAGCTTTCTGTGCCCTGGAGAGACAGAGAGAGACTAAACACTGCCCGGAAACATGTACGTGCTGCATGCAGGCTCTGCCTGTGGGAATTAAGGGAGACAATGCGACAGATAGGGAACAATGAGTGTCTGTAATGTACAGCAACAAAGCCAAAGTAACCCAGTGTGCTGCAGAACAGAGAAGGAGACTGTGAAAACAGCAACCCCATGAGGTAGAAATCCTGCCAAGCCTGCTGAGAGGACAATCAGCGGGCCCTCCTCAGCTGGAAGATGGCTCAGTGGAAAAAGGAGTAAAAGAGTGGGATGGAGGAGGAAAAAAGAGGCATCCCCAAGGGGCCCTTTTGCAGAAGAAAAAAAGAAAAAAGTCATCTTCTGTTTCATTTATCTCTTCTTGTGAGTGCATATCTCAGTCAACACAGCACTTTGCCCACTATAACACAAATAAATGAGGCTGTGGAAAGAAAGGAAACCCTTTCTCAAAAACAAACTAGAATCCAGGTATTTTGCAGAAAGCCTACAGAGTGTTTCACGTTCACCAGGTGAGCAGGGGCCTGCTGTGATGTCTCCTGCCACTGCCCCTCTGCCTTTCTGCTTCAGCTCAGGGTGCCGGGTGCCTTAAAGAACAGGATATGTACAACTCTGGAGCACTTGGCTGCAGAAGATGCTCTGCAAAAATCCCAGTTCTCCAAATCTCCAGTTTTACTTGGATCAGCCCTTCCAACAGCAAAAAGGGCACAGCACAGTGCTCCTTCTGCTTATTGCACTGCAGCCTCCTGCGTGTGGGAGGCGGAGTGCACGGCCAGAGCCTGTGCACAAGAAGCCAGTGGGAGTGGAAAAGCCACAAAATTAGCTCCTGGCCAATTTGATGAGGAAAAGAAAGGAAGCCATGAACCCAAACTGGAAACATCCAGGGTAAGAGGAGCAGGAGCTGGGGAGCGGCTCAGGGAGCGAGCAGGCTGCCAGAGCTGGCTGTGCCCCAGCTCAGAGGTTTCCTCTGGGTGCCTGCACCCTGCAGCAGTTCCCGTCCTCTGGGTGCTTGTGCCCTGCAGCAGCTCTGTCATAGGGCTGGAGCCCTGCTGCCTGCAGCTCTGCAGCCTGAGCGAGCAGCACCCTCTGCTGCTGATCTGCTCGCCTCTGAAGCACCCTGCTTTTTTTCCAGACACCTACACGCTCCAGAGGGGAAGCTCAAGAAAAGCATCCACAGAAATATCCTCCTGCAAGTCAAAACACTGCAGCATGTGGGTGGTTTGTTTGTCAGGCGCTTCGGTCCTGCTGCTGTTGGGAAAGGCGATGCCAGGCAGCATCTGCTTGCAGCAGATCATAGCGATGAGGACAGGCCCTGGCTTCGTGCTGAAAAGATTTTGACTGCTGCTGCTCCCTGGCAAGTACTCTGCCTGATATTACTTGATGAACGTGACTCGACGCGCACAACAGGGACCCTGTCAGCTCTCTGTTTCTCCAGCAGCCTTCCTCAAGCCTCTTCCAAACATCCCGTATCCCCATGGGGCTGCTGATTTACTACTGCTGCACAGCGAGAGGGAAGGGGAACTCGGGCAAGCGAGGTGACTCAGCCCACAGTGAGTCAGGGCAGAGCGCTGCCCGCGCTCCCCACTGCCAACCGTGGCCCAGCAGCACCACACAGTCACGAGAATCACAGTCACCTACGGTTTTTCCTTCCTTTTTGCTTTTTGTTTTTCCCAGCTCAAGCTGCTTAACATCAGCTCCATTCCGCAGGCACAATCCCAGGGGGGATGCGCATGCTCCAGGCAGGCTGAGGGCACTGGGGCTCATCCTCGTATTTTCTCCCTCTCCCCGCATGCCTGCTGCTCTTTTCCTTAGCACCTGACCCCACATTTCCCTCCTTCAGGGAAGGTAAGGTAGTGGTGCCAGCTGCAGCTCCAGTCCCCCATGTCCATGTCCCCTGGCTCAGCCAGGGACACAAATCTGAGCTCCCACATCCCCTCCATCTCCCAATCCTTTTCCTTTCTGCAGGCAGCAGGGGGGAGCTCCCCCGAATCTTCAAGCACACGGTACTGCGTCAGCTCATAAAATACGCCCGATGTAAGAAAAGCAACGTACAAAAAGTCATCCAAACCCTGTTAAAAATAGGCTGGGATCCACCGAAGAGAACCTGCTCGACAGTTTGCCTCTGTGTGCGCAGGTCTCGTTTCAGCAGCACCGCTCAGAGCCAAACACCCTTCACACAAGCCCCAGATTGTTTTGTGGATAAGGAGATGCCTATACAAAAAGGGAGCCCTGTTTAAGGAAAAAATGAGGCGATGTCTGCTCGGAGCGCCACCAGGACATAGTTTCTGCGGGAAATTCCTCTCGGTAGAGCAATTTGTCAAACAGAGCCAGCGTGTCCCGCCGCAGGGAGCAGCGCGAGGGCACGGCCGGGCGCAGTCTGCAGCGATGCTGGCGGGGAGAGCCCAGTGCTGCATTGCTACAGGACGGCGTGCCAGCCCTCTGCAGGGGAGCGGCTGGAGCGAGCTGCATCGATTCACATTACCCACAGACATCTCACGAGGCAGCTTGCCTCGGGATCGCTCTTCCCCCTGAAACGTCGTGTTTTTCACCCCCTCCACCGTCTCCCTCAGTGCCCCTTTTAAGGTCACCTGGTTGTTGGAAGGATGGCAGTAAAACAAATCCCTGATAAGGCAGGCACAAATCCTTCCAAGGGTTGCCCTTAACTGCGGCCAAAGGAAATGTCAAGCACAGCACCAAAAATTTTTGTTTTGAAAAGAATCAAGACCCCTGCCCCTGCTCGCTGTGTCTGGGGAGGATTCAGTGATGCTGTAACTGCTCGGAGTCTCTCTCTTCAGTGACACGCATTGATCTCTGAACTAGAACAACTCCCTCTAAACTAGAATTAAAACATTTCTGACCTGGGTAGGACAACATTGTCACAGCCCTGTGACACGACTGGCAAGCCTCCTCACCTGCACATCATCTCCAAGTGCATGGGCTGTTCAGCATCACTCCTGAACAGCATCTGGGAGTGCCATACACATGCCATAGCAATGCACCCAGACATCCCTGAGAGCACTGGAGAGGATTTGGACACTGAAAACACCCCCATGGCTTGGTGCTTCAGAAATCCTGCTACGTTAGCAGCCTAGAGATCTCCACTGAAAACCCACAGGAGTCTGCAGACAGCCTCGTGTTTCAACTGCAGCCGGAGGAAGGAGCCTTTGTGCATCAGCAGGAAAACATCTGATTTAAATCTTCTTGTCAGGGAAGGGGAATGAGGCCTCACCTACTGCCCCAGGGCAGTGGGACAGAATTGCTAGCTTCCCTTGCCCAGGGCACACATTGTGCCTGCGTGTTTTGTGTCGGGGTGGCGCCAGGTGAGGTTTCCTTTCCCTGGGGAGTGGGATGGATCTGGCCAAACAGGAGACATGGCCCCGCATGTGACGCCAGCATCGTGATGGAGTTCAGCAGCATCGTTGCAGCTGGCAGATCTTGAGTCGATTAGACAAAACTATGGCTTTACAAAGTTTATGTTATTAAGCAGCTCTGTACTATGATGATAGTATCTATGGAAATGCAACTGAGACTTACCCAAGGTGCCATCAGGGCGGCTATTCCAGTACCTGGCGCTGTGCTGGGCAATTCCACCTGGAAAGGGCTTTGGCTGCTCTGAAAAGCCCTGGTGTTCAGGTGATGCACACACCAAAAAGACTCAGGGATCAGTATGAAATAATATTTTTGGCTCCTGGTTCTAAACTACAGAAAATTCAGCATTGTCATTTTTGTACCACTAGAGCTTCATTCACCAAAAAGAAGAGGGGAGGAACAAACCCACAGAAAACCCACCAATCTTTGAAAGAAATTAAAACACACTATTGTTAAAAAATATTTTTATAAATATAATCCTCTATTCATTTCACAAAACAAAAGGAATCACAAAATTTACTCATGGAAAAATATGATTTTACAGCTCGATTTATAAAAGTGAGAAAAAGTGAATTCCAGTGTTAAGTTTTCTGTAAAACAGTAAATATCACACCATTGAATTACAGGAATGTAATGAAGAAATTATTTGCCATTTTAAAAAAAATAAACTTGTTATCAATAATCACTTATGGGAACAGACAATAAGTAGTTACTCCATGGACTTGTTTCTGCAAAGAAAGGTTAATACTCAAGCTCTCAAGAAGGTGCACTCCTCCTATTAATAGCTTTTACAAAATAAAAATAGCACTGCTTCCCTGGCCTACAGCCCAGTGGATTTCTACCATTCTTCTCCAACAGATTTGTTAATAATTTCACCCTTCTTCCCATCCGCAGTCTCTCCCTGTACCAGTCACAATTTTTATACATTACAAAATATTTATTTCTCATTTGGCAAATGCTAAGTATTAAAGGGTTTAAAAGGAATGTCTGAGGAAAAAAAAAATATACAGTGCTAGAAAAACACAAACAACCCAGTCAGCTATGTTCACTGAGGAAAACACAGACGTTTTAACTGGATTTTCATAAAATCCAGGATGAATTTAGGGGTGATCTATTAGAGACTTCCCAAAGGAACCCTTTTTTTTTGCTGTAAAGAACAGCTGCTCTCTGAGGAAAAAAGAAAAAGCTTGTTTAAGAGTGCAAATAACCCCCCCCCTTTTTTTTTTGTTTTAAAAAGTGTTTATTTCAAAAGGTGCTGGACCATTATTAAAAATAGTGTGCAGAAACACGAAAATACCAATGCCACAGTTATCTGTAAGGTAGGAACAAACTGTCACGTGTAAGAATAAGCTTTTCTCACGTAGGTCAGTTTTTCCTTAAAACTTGTTCCCTCACCCCAAACACCCAAGACCCAGATTGAGGTTTACACGGCTACTTTTGTTTAAAGAAGAAAAATGCTGTTTAAATTTATGGACATACCAGACCTAAAACATCTTCCTCTGCACAGCTGTTTCAGCCACTGTGGTATATTTCGGAGCCAGTGTCTGCTAGCACTCGTCTACAAGAAGAGTTATTCCAGAAGAGTTATTGCAGTTAACTCCTCAGGCGCGTGCTCTTATTCCAGACCCCACTTATCCAGCAAGTCCTGCTCCAAGGAGCCTGCAGTGCTCGCCTTCCTCCTGCTCTCCCATGCCACCTTCTTCCCCTGCAATTTTTTTTCACCCTTGGGTGTTTGTGCTGGTAGCTAAGCCTGCCTGCAACTGAGAAACAGGCAGTAGTGAACTTATTCATGAGCACACACATAAAAATGGATAACCAGCCGTCCCCTCTGCCAGACCAGACCAGTTCAGGCACTCATGTCTCTTCTCCATGTGAGCTTTTGTGGCAGCCACACCACCACAAGCCCCATCCTTTCCCATGCAGTGACCCTGGGAGGAGTACAGGCTGGATGGACCTGTCCACCTTGCTTCACGTGCTGCCAGGCCACAGCAGCTACTTGCACCTTCATTTGCATCCTCACCACTAGGATTCAGATCCCCCGAGCAGGGGATTCGAGGCCAATGTCCAGCTGTCTAAAACAAAGTCCCCTTCCTTCCCCGTCCTGCAGACTTGTAGGTCTGTGAAGTGTCACCAAGCCCAGCTCCTGAGGACCCTACTTAACCTCAGGGGCCTGGAAGGCGTGGCCAGGCCTGGCACCACCCCAGCCCACACAGCTCACTGCTGCTCCTTGGGGTCGGGGCGCCATCTCGTGTCAGCACTTCAGTCCCTGAGTCACCCCCAAGCCATCCAGCAGCTCCTTCTCTGTGGAAGCAGGTCCAGCATTCCCAGGAGGAAGGCAAAGATCCCTTTGGAAATAGCCTCTGCTCCTATGCAGCATCCTCGCTGCTGGGAGCCAGGACCACAGCCACGCTCCAGTTTCCTTCTGGGGCCACTCCATATGAGCAGGTTTGTCTCCAAGCCTCCATCTGGATCATCAGCCCACGTTCTCCCATCTTGATTTCCTTTCTACAAGCTGCACTCTGGCTTGCTGCGGCAACTTACCCATTAGAGAAGGTCACGGAGTACTTGGGGATATCATGAAAGCAGAGACAGCCTTTGTTTGTGGTAGGGAAAGTAAAAATTAGGATGGAAAGAGCAGGGTCCCTAGGTAGAACTGGATGTCTCCAACCCTGTGAGCAGCTGCACTATACATTTCTATAATCACTTAACCTTGTCCTGTCTACACAGAGATGCAGCATGTTAGTTCTGTGTGCCCAAAATAGATGTTCGGAGAAAATTCCCTCTCCTTGTAAGTCAGCGTCCTTGAGCTGAAACCCCAACACCACCATCCCTAAACACCGTAACTACCTTAATGTGTGCTGTCATGAGGGACACATGGGTAGTTTTTAAAGCTGCCTCCCACAGAAATTGTATAAGCCTCTGAATGGCACTGTGAGCTTCAGTTCTGTGGACAGAGAAAAATTGTTTCAGAGAATGAAACAAAAAGAGAGGACAGTTAAGGAAAAGACCACTCCTGTGCTGGCTAAACACAAACAACTACCCTGAACAACAAGCTTTTCCCTCAGTAATTATTGCACTGCAGGCAAATAACAGCTTTGGGAACTGCCATGTTCCTCAGCCTGCCCCCATTATTCTAACAGCCTCAGAAGCAGTTTTGTTTCCTTCTCCATCCCCCACGATACCAGCTATCCACTTAAGGAAAGCAGTAAATTACTGTGTGTAGGCTCAAACCCTGCTGCTTGGCAATTGGTGAAGACCCAGGACTACAGCGAGCTCACAAATCGGTGTCAGCATTTAGGGGCCACAAGCCACAGAAGCTCCAAGAGAGCCCAGCCAAGGCCAGTGGCTGGTGGACACCACGACGGGCTGCACGGACAAGACTGCAGACCCATGTGCACATGAGACTCATTTTGCTGAGGCCAGGACTGTCCCAGGCAGAGCTGGGCAGAGGACGGAGATGTCGTTACTGTCTTTGAACCTGAGAATCAAAAACCAACAACAAAAAAAGAATTGGCAGGTACTTAATATAACAAGTCTCCCGTTGTGCCTGCGAGGTAGTTCAACGTTAATAAATTCCTGAGAGGGGAAACTGAGGCACTTCAAGGTGAGGTAACGTGTCCAAAGTCACAGTCTGAGTCTGGCAGAGCCAGCAATGCTGCCTGGACTCCTGCTTAGCTCTGCACACTGAGCTGAGCTCAAATGTCAGAGGCACCACAGGCCACCAATTCCCCAGAAGGTTAGAGGAGCCCGTCAGAGATAAAGCTGCTGCTGGCAACAGGAAAACATGGACGCTGTGTAGGAAAATCCAGGCAGACGAGGGAGGAGGGACACGGAGGACATCACCCAAGCAGAGCTTCATAATCCACATACCACACCAGCTGGCCAGAGCTGGGGCTGACACCCGAGATAGGCCACTTCCTTGGCTGCCGGCCCACCCTGCTGATCTGGGTGGTGATATCGTGCTTGCCCTTCCCCACAACCAGCACGAACACCTGCCTGGCTTTGTTGATGAGGGACAGGCTGAAGCTCATCCTTTGGTGAGGTTTGATGGGGCTTTCGGTCAGCACCACAGCCTGAGTCCCTTCCAGGCCGTTTTCAGAGTCGGGGAAGAGCGAGGCGGTGTGCCCGTCAGTGCCCAGCCCCAGCAGCACCAGGTCAAAGCTGGAATTGGCCACCAGGGCCGCGATCTCCTTGGCATAAAGCTCCGTGCCTCCATCCTCTTCCACGCAGAGCCGCTGGTTCAGGTGCACAGGCATGGGGTGGACGTTGAAGTAGGGCACCCTGATGCTCTGCAGGAGGTGGCTGTGCAGGCTGAAGAAGTTGGACTCCGGGTCAGTGAGGGGGACGCAGCGCTCATCCACCAGCCAGATGTGGGTGTGCCTCCACGGGAAGGCATAATGGTGCCTTGCCAGCCGCTGGAATAGGGCCACGGGGCTTGAGCCGCCGGACAAAGCCAGGTGGAACTGCCCAGAGCCTGCCACAGCCCTGTTTGCTGCCTTCTCAACATCAGAAGCCAGCTGGGAAATCAGGTCCTCGGACCACATTGACACCAAGGGGCTTTGCCGAAATTTGGACTGGATTGTCTTGAAATCACTTGGCATCGACCTGTCGGGGTGCAGCAGTTCCACCGGCTCTGCCGCCGTGAACGCCAGCTCCCCGCTCACCATTTCAAAGTCCAAGAGGTTTTGGTTCTCCACCCCACCAGGGTAGAGGCGCGGGGGCTGGCGAGAAATACTGTTCAGCAGCGGTGTCCAGAAGGCCCAGGAGGCCAGCAAGTTCTCGGTGGTGATGAAGAAGTCCTTCCTGCCGTGGTATATGTTGGAAATAAGGACAGAATACGCATCTCTCTCCTTCACAGGGCTGTACACGTAGTAATCAGACAGCGGTTGTCCAAAAACATGCAGCTCTGGCTGACCTACAACTTCTCTCCAACTGCTTTTTGGCATGACAGGCCTGAAAAGGTTCCTGCTCACAAGCACTGCAGGGGTGTTGAGTGCGCCATGTCCGATGTAGAAGATGATCTGCTTGGCTTTACACTGGCTGTGCCCTGCGTCCCGCAGCGTCTCGCTCTGCGTGCAGTAGGCCCGGTTCTTGAAGAGAACACGGACGTAACCTACCCGTTCATCCAGGGCTTTCCCAGAAGTGAGGAGGAAAGGGACCCCTTCCCAACGCAGGCTGTCACTCTGAACGAGCACACCTGAAACGACAAAGTGATCTCGGCTACCAAGTTCAACCTGGAGCCTGAACAGCAAGCAGATTTGAGGGGAGCTGTCACCTAGCCATCACTCTCCTTCTTTAGAAATCTTGGCATTCGCTGTGTCTCTTGCTCCACATTTTGCTCTTTCATGGCAGCACAGGACTAACTGCTCTTTAGCCACCCCGCTGTGCTTCCTCCCAGGTATCCTACTTGCTTAACCGCCTTTCATCTCGCAAGAAACCAGTTTCCAAGCATGAATATCATTCAGACAAAACCTTTGATGTTCAGAAAACACAGCAGGGCCAGAGATTGCCTTGTCATCTATCAACCACAGAGAACTCCCCATGCTTTATCCTCCAGATACAGAGAGCAACTCAACTTTATGAAAAGGTGAAGCAGTTTACAGGCCACTCCTGAAAATAGTGCACCGGCCTTAGCAAGAATAATGGGGCTTAACTCTTATGCAATGCTTTCCATCTGTAGGATCATTAATTGCCAGACATGACACCAGCATTTTGTAACAGCTCACAGCCACCGTGCTGATGGATGCCTGGAGACATCCCTGTGCCAGCAGTGAGGTCCAGCATCACGGAGTGAGGACTCCCATCTCCAGCTCTCCTTGGCTGTAGACTACTCCCCCTCACCAGGGCCCAGACCCAAAATCTCACCTGCGAAGGTTGGTGTCGTGCTGACATAGTCCTGTCCCTTCTTCAGTTCCTCCTGCACGTGGCTGGCGTACGCCTGATACTGACCCAACACAGCACTGTGCTTCTCCAGGCCCCGCAAGGACCGGAGGGCCTGCAGCTTGCACTGCAAGACTTCTTCGGTCCTACTCAGGTTGCCCGGGAGCTCCATGGTCAGGAACATCAGGGCCTCGGTGAGGTGGTTCTGCAGCACATCCCGGATGACTCCGTACTGCTCGTAGAAGCTGGTGCGGCCTGTGGACCAAGAGGAGGTAAGAGACTGATAAAAGTGATGTGGTGTCCTTGCAGCCCTGCCCTCTGCTCGTGTCATGTGTGTGCCGAGGAGAAGACCAAATTGGTCTGCACTGCTCTTCTCTTCTCTTGGCCCAGCAGTTACTGTGAACCTATCAAGCCTCTCCCCTCCCTCCAGAAGGAGGGGAGAGAAAACTTTCCCCCCAGTTTTCTGTCATTGGGAGGCTCTGGCTGGGCCATGCCCTTGAAAGACAAAATTTTGTGCACAAAACCCTGCTGCTCTGCCTGCCTGACTTCTCACGCAGGGGTGTGTGTGTGTGTGGGAGGTGGACAATCCACTTATTAAGAAAGTGACTCAGAGATGCCTTTCTGTAGTCCAGCAGCAGCAGGCTGCACACTGCAGACTACATCACAGCCGTAGGCTTCCCCGATTGATTGATACATTTATCTCCTTTGCTCTAATCCAAAGGCACATTCATTAGTGTAATCAATGCTGCAGACTTGCTGGGAGCCAGGCTGCAGCTGAAGCCGCACGGGGGAAGGAAGATGTCAAATAAAAAATGACAAAGTTGTTCAGAGAGGGGAGGGCACAGGGAGCAGCTGGGACCATGCACAAACGGCACCGTTCCCCCCAGACCTCTCTGCAGTGTCTCCCTCTCCCAAAATCAGGTCCAGGCTGCCAAACCAAGGGTTACACAAAGCTTGGTAAAACTGCATTGATTGAGTTTGTGGTGGCTGGGGGCGGGAGTGGGAGGGAGGGAGAAGAGGAGGGTAAGGGAGTGGAGAAGCAGCCCTGATGTTGCAGAACTGAGGGCGCCTGACATCCCAAGAACTGCTGCGGGTGGCAGTCCAGCCCAAGTGCTTTATGCTGAGCACTGCAGAGCGCATGCTGCAGCATTGCAGGGAGAGATTGCAGCCGTGCCCTTCAGCAGGAGACCCATGCTAGCAACTCTGGGCTTGGATTTTTCTCTCTGCAAGGCTCTTAGTGCTGAGAGGAAGGGAATGAAATTGGCCAACACACACACAAGGGAAGTGTAAGACAGTCCTTCTCCATTTCCAGGGAGCAGCATACCATCCACCTGCACTTTTTTGTTTCCACACCAGCTCAAGGACCACTTTCTTGTAATTTGTAAGCCTGCCAGTTCTCCCTCTCACCTATTCACCCCAGTTCTGTATGCTTGCCTCACCAACCTTTGGCATCCACAACCTCCTTCAGGACAATCTCCACTCTTTCCACATGATGTCGGTTCCAGATGGGATCCAGAAACTCCTGGTTCTGGTCTCGAAAAGGCAGGATATGGGCTACAGCCTGTGAAGGGAAAGTTCAAAAGATCCAACAAAAACTCACCATATTTCTACAGTACCTTCTCCTCACTTCCCCATCCAGCACTGGGATGTGGCCAGTGAGTGGCCACACTGGAGTGCTAGCAGGCATGCCACGTAGCAGAGAGCAGAGTGGGTGAAAGAAGAAAAAAAATCTGCAGGAGCCCGTTATGATACACAGTGGAGTCTCCACTGACTGTACGTTAAAGGCCTTGCTGAAGTGCTTTGAGGTTTCACGTGAAAAAGGCTGAAATGCAAACTACAAGGCTCTCAGTTTATAACCCTCAAAAGACACAGGTCTGAGTCAGTCCTGGGATTAACGTGCAGCTCTGAAGTACTTAAACAGATCAGATCAGATGCTTACACTTCTAAAGCCATCTGTTTTCGGGGGGGGAAAAAAGGCAAGGAAGAAGTCTCCCCCCACCTTCGCAGAGATGCTCTCCTTGCAGCTGGACATGCACCTTTCCGAGTAAAACCTGGCCACGGTGCCATGGCTGGAACAGGCTGCTCTCAAAATGTGGCATTACGTTCCTCTAAGGCAAGGATGGCACGTCCTTGAATGCACTCCCTCTGGGACAATGCAGCTGCTGCATGTCCCGAGCTGCCCCTGCAGCAGCCAGGCCCCACACCCTGCCTGCAGCGCAGGACAGGAGGAATCCTTCTCCCCAGCATCCCACAAATCTCACTTCTCATCAGCTCTGTATCATATCACATTGAAAACCGCTTCCAGAAGCCACTGCTAGCAGAAAGGCCTGCGTGTGATGAGAGGGGAGAACGGTGAGAGGGAAAGGGCATTGCTTACTCAGCGAAATCAGAGCCCTGACCTTGGCAAGAAGACCAGATCAATCTGCACCTCTCCCTCGTGCATGCACACCACTCGTCCCTACACTCTGGCTTCCCTCGAGAGAGGCGAACCTTGTCACCAGCTGCACATCTCCCCTGCTCTGCAAGAGCACGGACAGCAGCACAGCACAGGGCACCAACAGCACGAGGCCCTGTAAGAAAACGGAGGCTTGGGACACAACCAGGAGCACTGCCTGAATTTGGGAACACCCCCATCAGATGCAGGGCTGACACCCAGCGCTTTCCCAGCCACCGAGTCCCTCAGCCTGGCAGGAGGCTGAGCACTGCGAGCTGCTTACCTGCTTGCCCAAGTAGTGGTCCACCCTGTACATCTCCTCTTCCCTGAAGAAGCTCGTCAGCTCTGCAGCCAGCTGCTGGGCCGACTCCAGGTCGTGGCCAAAAGGTTTCTCCAGCACCACACGCAGCCAGGCGCCCGGAGGGGGTCTGCAGCTGCTGTTGATGTGCCGGGCGATCTCCGTGTAGGCAAACGGAGGTACTGAGAAGTAGAAGATTCTTCCAGCCTCCTTCAGGCCCTCCTGGCGAAGCAGCACCTCGATCTCCCTGTTGAGCACAGTGTAGTTCTCGGCGGTCTTCAGCTGGTGGTACTGGCTCAGCTTCAAGAATTGGTCCTTCAGCACAGCACATCTGTCCGGAGCCTCATCCGGGGGACAGGCCAGCTTCTTCAGCACATCAAACATCATCTTCTGCCCTGGTTCCAGAGCTGTCAGCGCAGCCCCGTGGAAAGTGAAGCTGTGGCCACTGCTCACTTGGTCCATGTAGAGCTGGAAGAGGCCCTGCCACAAATACTTCTTGGCCAAATCACCTGTGGCTCCCAGCAAGACCACGGAGATGTGGCCCTGGGACATCTCAGCCGGCGATGGCAAGGCTCCCATGAAAAACATGGTACACAGCACTCTTCTCAGCATCTTGGGAGAGATGAGGCTCACCCAGTAACACTACAGAGGGCAGAATTAAGAAAGAAAATCTGTCAATCCATGTTATAACGCTGCAAAACACAGCGCAAGGTGCCTGCTCTCCCATGGCTCAAAACTGAAATTTCTGCCTGGATCCTCCACCCAACCACGATCCCTCTCCCCTCCACGATTTGAATTATGGTAGGCATGAGAGCTCTGGAGAAGACTGCAGTTGCCTTGTGCGAACCAGGAACTGGAAGACAGCTCGTGCTAAGGTCTTTCAGTAGCACAGGAATTGCTCCCAGGGCTGAGTTAATGAGGGGATGTCAATGTCTTTAGATTGTGAAACTGAAATCCATTTTAATGCAAATTTCAGAGCTGGCTACAATCAAACACGTGCTGGCAAATTCAGGCTGCTGCTTTCAGCAACCTCCTGTTTGGGACTTTGCTCAAGTGGTATTATGCTGTCTTGGCACTGCTTCATGTCAATATTGTCACAGCAGCTCAGAGACAAGCACGACCACTGGCAGTTCCAGCTCGCAGGCTCTTCTTCAATGCACTGCGCTCTAATGACTGGTGCGCACCACCCCTCCCATGAACACAGATGAATTAGGTTCTAACAAGCTACCGGGAGACAAACAGCCTGATAAAACAACACAGGGGAAGGAGAAGTTTAGTCCTTAAAATCAAGTCTAGAAGTGAGCCAGTCGAGATGCTGTCTCATGATGGTTTTGTATGCAGCCAGGAGACAATGCGGGGCTTGTGCTCTGCCGAGGAGAGCATGTGGGCACCCGCTCCCTGCTGCAGCCAGCACCAGCTGGTCTCCCTAGCCAAAAAGACCCTCTCCTTGTTCTTATTTAGCCTTGTTTCTCTAATCTGAAAGACGGCTGTTTTTAAGAGTAATAACACACCTGGTATCTAGAAACAGGGCAAAGATCGTAGATCACGAAAAATAATCCAGAATCTCCTGAACGGAGAAAGGGTGGTGTATGAGCTCTGACTGCTTCTCCCACTGGAAAGCTCCCAAAAAGTCACTAGTCCATCATCAACACTGAATATAAACTAGTTAAAGGATGAAGATAACTTAAACCAAGGAAATCCTGAACATTTATCCCTACCTGCAGCTTGAACCAGTCATAATAACTCTTACGTTGCTCTCCCCAGCACTCACCTGAGTCACACAGGAGCTTTACAAAGGCTGCAGAGGCAAAAGTAGCTGCAAACTTGTCTTCTTCACAGCCCCGTGGGTTCAGATCTCTCTTCTCCTGTGACTGAGTGCACTGCAGATTCACTGATCAATGGTCAGGTGAGCCAGATTTTGCAACCAAGATAAGGCAGGTTGTTCCCTTTCTGTAAATGAGAGTAAAGACCAAATTACAGCGAGAAAATATGACTGCCTGTGCCAGCAACATCCCGGCTGTCGGCCTATCCGTGCTGCCTGTGCTTAAAGTTCTGGTTACTGTTTGTGAGCAGGTAAAATGTGGGAGCTTTGTGGCAACTCCTGACTCCTCTGCCATGCACCCCAGCACGGCTCCGTGCTGGAGTTTGGCCACCAAGACCCTGATGCATGTCCCTGGCAGCAGCCCCGACCCCAGTCCCCAGCTTCCCAAGCCAACAGCCTCGACCCAGTGAGCAGGGGGTTGTTTTAATGAGCCCCCCTTGGGCAGCTGGATGGCACTCACATGCTGCTGCTCTCAAAGGTTGGTTTGCACTGGTGATTTCTGCTTTTTCCTTCCCCTTTTCCTGCACGGGGATAGGGATGATGCCACAACAGCTGAGCACACCTGCAGCTCACCCTGCACTGCTGATGGGTGAGAAGGCCTGGGTGATCCCACAGGGCACATCACCCTCTCATGAGAATCCAGGATCCACTCCTTCCTCTGCAAAGCTCCACATCATAGCTTGTCAATCTAATGCTCATCTCTGCCCAGCCCTGCCTCCTCGCTTTATTTAACCTCCGTGCACCCACTTACCAAACAGTGCTGGCGATTGCACAGGAGCAGAAGCAGGGCTCCCAAGCTTTCACCTGCATTAAAAATAATTATCATCTCAAGCACAGGTTTGGTTTTCTTTCCCCCACTATGGCACTATGGTGCAGATGACCAGGTTTTCAGTGCAATAAGGTAATATTTACACTTGCTTAAGCAACCTTTGCTCCAGGAACCCGGGACATTGGGCACGCTGCCTGCTGGGCACAGGGGGCTGCAGGTGCCAAGATGCTGCAGAGACCCCAGCCGAGAGCAGGAGCCTCCCAGGGCAGGGCAGGATTTGGGCAGGCCGTTCTTTTCCACCTAGCCAAGGAAACGAGCGAATTAGCCAAGCGGCTCGCTGGCAAATCCAGCTACAGTCACACGCATTTCCAAGCCAACTCGAAACTGGTTTCACAATGCTCCCAGTTGCAAAACAGAGCGCCCAAGAGAAGCGCAGCAAACCCAGGGCTGTTTGTTTGCTGCCCTCGTAGCCCCTAATCGCCAGGATTCCTATTTAAAAGGATTATCCTTTACAGGTTTCCCAACCACTGAGAACTCCATCAGCTTTCAGGGGGGAGACCCCTGGGCCCTGTCCCTATAAAACACAGGGGGAGCATCACCCAGGGCATCCCCTGCAGCTGGCCAGGAGCAACTTTCAGCCCCCGATGCAAAAAAAAGAAGAAAAAATCTCTCTTTTTTTGGTACCGTTGCGTCCCCCCTTATAAAAAAATAACCCAATTAAGAGATGCACGGCCAGACCTGGGGACCTCCTTGGCACCTTACTGGTGACCCCAGCAGTGGCAGCGGTGCTGGGGGCTTTACTGGGGTGCTCCCCCCTTTGGGGTACAGACACCCTGAGCCCCCCAGCGACCCTACAACCCCACTGCCAGCCCCAGGCTCGCCCCCCCGGTGCCACCCCCGTGCTTTTTGGGGCACCCCACATCCACAACCCCGGCTCCGGGGGGGTGACACAGGGGGGGAGAGGGGGACAAAGGGGGTGTAAAGGGACACCGGGGGGGGGGGGCTGAGCCAGGCTCGCAGCCCCCCCCTAACCAATAGAGGGCTCCCTCCGGTACCGGAGGGTGGATCCAACCCGGTCCCAACACCGAGCCCCCCCTGGTGCCCGGGGAAGCCCAGCAAAAGCCGCCTGTTGCTGCCCCCCCCCCCCCTCCTCCGGGGCCGCCCCCCACTCACCTCCCGCCCCCCCCCGGGCAGCGAACGGGGCGCGGCGGCGGCGGCAAACCGGCTGCGGGCGGGCCCGGCACAGCCCCCAGCGCCCCGCCTCGGAGCCGCCCCCCGGAGCTTGTGGTTGGCGGCCGCTCCCTCCGCGTTGTATCGCGAGGGAGGGAGGGAAATGGTGGCGCCGAGGCGGGTTGGGGTGCTGGGAGGGTTTGGGGGCCTGGTGAGGATTTGGGGGTGCAAGAGGTCCCTGGAGAGGTTCCTGATGCACTCTGAGACCAGGAGTGTTAGGAACCAAAGGAAAACTTCTCTGTTTTCTCCAGTTGTGCTGGCTGCTCTAGTTATACATATACATACCTACATGTATCCGGATTTCACAGAATAGAATCACAGAATCATTAGGGTTGGAAAAGACCTCCAAGATCATCTGGTCCAACCATACCCCTGCTACCACTATCACCATGTCCCCAAGCACCACGTCCAACCTTTCCTTGAACAACCCCAGGTTCGGTGACTCCACCACCTCCCCGGGCAACCCATCCCAATGCCTGACTGCTCTTTCTGAGAAGAAATGTCTCCTGTTTTCCAACTTGAACCTCCCCTGGCACAACTTGAGGACCTTCTAGTCTTATCATGGGTTATCTGTGAGAAGAGGCTGACCCCGAGCTCCCCACAGCTTCCTTTCAGGTAGTTGCAGAGAGCAATGTGGTCTCTCCTGAGCCCCCTCCATACCAAACCCCCCAGTTCCGTCAGCCACCCCTCACAGGACTTGTGTCCCAAGCCCTTCTCCAGCTTCATAGCCCTTCTCTGGACACACTCCAGGGCCTCGATGTCCTTCTGGTAGTGAGGGGCCCAAAGCTGAACCCAGCACTCAAGGTGCGGCCCCACCAGAGCAGAGTAGAGGAGGGCAATCACCTCCCTGCTCCTGCTGGCTGCACTATTCCTGACACAACCAGGATGCTGTCGGCCTTTTTGGCCACCTGGACACACTGCCTGGCATATGTTTACCTACAGACTACATTGCTTTGTGTCCTGAAACGCTCGTGACTGCAGTGTCCCACCTTCTGACCACAAGTGCACCCACACCTCCAGTCCCGTGTTTTCTGAACAAACAAGGTCTGTCGTGGACCTCCTGGGGCATATTGCAGCTCAGCGTGGCAGTGCTATTGGACACATCAGGTTTTGGGAAGGAGGAGAGGAGCAAAACTCTGCAAACTTAATGATCTTGGAGGTATTTTCCAACCCTAATGATTCGATGGTTAATGATTCTGTGTATATGCCCCAACCGAAGGGGCACACAGCAGAGAGCTCTTATAAACTGTCCTGGTGCAATGCAAGGCTTTCACGGGAGCTCAGCTCTTGTCTTCAGATTCACACAGGTGAACAACATCGTAGGGATCATTTCCCTACCTGGATCCACTTAAGCACGTAAATTTTCCTGTTGCCTTTTTCACTCAAAGGTCTCAAATTATTTTATGGAAGTAGACACTCTGTACCGCAACTAATTTACAGGTGGGGAAACAGAGTCACATTGGCAGGACTGAGAACAGATCTTGAATATGTTGCTGCTCAGGCCAACAATCTGGCAGTTGTGTTACATATAAGACAAACCTTGCTTTCTATTTGTGATACAACTGTGAATTATGTTTACATTATAACTTCTTGGTGCTATAGCCTTCTTTATCATCCTGTTCTGGAGGTTTGTCCATCCATGCGTGCCCAATCCCATGAAGACCCTTTATAGTATTGCAAAGGTGTCGGAGTGACAGAGTTAGCACCTAGGTTTGTCTGCAAGATGCAGGTCCAAATTGTGGATGAGGGAGACAGCAGCCTGCCCTGCTTCACGTTGTGTATTTACGATTCCCACCACGTCACTGATGCAGCTTTGCACTGGGTAGAGCCTGAAGGCATCTAGCAGTGGCCCTATTTCTGAAACCCAGCAGAGGGTGGATCACAGGCATAACTCAAATGGTGAAATTTCACAAATTAAACTTGGTGAGGGGGTAAATAACTCATCCGAAAGAGCCAGCTAGGCAAAATAATCCAGCTCCATAGATCTCCCCTTACCACCCAGTGCAATGTTACTACAGGGAGCATTTAGCAAGAAGCTTAGGGGAATCAGTGCTACATCCCATAGCTGTGTGTTTAACCCATCGAGGGCCTGATGACAAAGCTTGCTTAGCTTGCAGAAGCTAATCTGAGCCTGGGTATAGCAGACGGTGGGAAGAGGCAAATGGGAGTCCCCTTTCCAGTCTGCTTTCTGCCCTGGAAGAATAAAGAGGGGTGGCTACATACTCTGGCAGAAATGATTGAAGTGCAAATCTCCCTGCTGCATATTTCTGGCACACTGAATGAGACGAACAGCTGAGGCCTTGGTCACTTGAGCCTGTTATTATTACAGATAGAGCTGGAAGCTGGGAGTAGTGACAGTTGTTTAACATCCTCTGTTGAGAGACCCTGTCTCTAACTAGTTACACGATGCCAAAGTTTAAGTATTGAAGCTGAAATTTTATGTGGGGGGGTCTGCTTTATACAGTCTTTTTTTTTTTAGTCTGAAAAAAAAAGCGGTGCAGCTATTTCTGAGCTGGAGGGCAAGATAAAATAGGTTTTTTGACCACGTTAAAAATACCTCAGCTGTTTCATTAAGGAGCTCTAACATCTCATAATTTGGGGCAAGGAAGATTTTATCAGGATGATGGCTTGGTTCAGAATGTACTTTTGTCAGAAAAAGTGTGCTTTTGTCAGTGCCTTTTCAGATGTGCTCAGCTGCATGCTCCTTGAAGGGAAGTAGGTCCTGTGTGACAGCTGAGACATGTGATGCCAATAAAGAAATAAAAGGTTGTTAGCAAGGGATGGAGTATTAAGGAGCCGGATGTTGTACAAGCAAATAAAAGTTCTGTAGGGAAGGAGGTGTTGTGGAGGAGGAAGCATTAAGCTGAAAGGAGTGTTTTATTCAGTTGAGAAGGTCATACCTATGCACTGTAGGTAAAGGCTGTGTTTTAGTACAGCATTTGAAAGTGGCTTTTTATTTAGGAGTGGGGAAAATAATTTAAAATGAGACTTCAATATACTGGGGTTTTGTTTTTTGGCCAGTTTCAAGATGCAGAGAAGAAAACCTGTTTTAGCATGGTGTGGGTGCTGCTGTGTAGAGCTAAGGCATCCTTCAGTACAACAAGCTCGTGGTGCTGTCATCTGGAAATAGACTTGAAATTTGCCCCATTGATTAACTTCTGCAAAAATGCCTACTGCTGGTGACCTACTGACATGGCTATAAATGATTGAGTAATTTCTGGAGATGCTTTATCCTCCCTCAGTTCCTCTTCCCACAGCAGGAGCCCTGCTTGGTCATGCTGCTGCAAAGCCTGGTGCAGCCTCGTCCCCCTTAGGGCTGGGGGTGCTGAGCTTCAGGAAAGCTCAGAAGTTCTGGACCATCGAGCTCCTATGATTTTGAGAAAGGCAGTTAATGGCTGCTGTGAAGCAATAAAGAGCAGCTGTGTAGCAGCTGGGGTTCTTATTAGAAAATAAAATCAAACTGGCTCCTGGAAAACCAGATTTAAGGTAAAAATCATAACAGCAGTTCCCTAACTGGTGTGGGAAAGAGTAAGAGAAAAGGTTTGTTACAGCTACAGGGGCAGGTCAGCGACTTCCCTGCTTCATGAGTCCTGGAGCTGCACTTGCTCTTGGAGTTGGCATGGGATTAAACGTGCTGACTTAAAGCCTTGGATGTCCCTGAGAAAGAGAAATCCCCAAATTCTGCTTTAAGAAGAAGTTTGGATGGAAATGTTTGATATTAATCAAAGCTGTGCTCAGAGGCTGGAGGGCTGCTCTAGTGCTGCTCCCAGGAGCCCTGTTGCAGTGAGGGCAGGTGATGTTCCCAAAGACCTCGCTGCTCTGTGTCCTGCCTGGAGAGCTTGGCTCCTTAAGAGCTTATAATCAAATAAAGCTGAGACACTCCAAGGTGAAAGAGCATTAGAGTAATACTGCCTCCTAACAGCTCCTGTTTCTATTGCTTGTCTGCTTTCCTTTTTTAACTGTGGCTTTTAAGCCGTAGAAATCATGCCCAGTGCATGGCTCACAGGTGTGCTGCTTGAGTGGGGCAGGGAAGTGCCTTAACACTGCTGGCTTGCTGCGAGGCTTGAGTAAATGGCATTACTAGCTAATGCAATTACCTCGCTGCCGCTGTCCCCAAGCAGTCGTGGGGATAAAATACGATTTAATGCCCCTCTGTAAGCCTCTGTCACAGAGACTGGGTGAGTTCCCCGGCAGCGATGCTGCACTGCTGCAGCGAAGATGCGGTCTGCATCCCTCAGCAGCCAGGGTGCAACTGCAACGGGAGTGCTCCGCAGCAGCCGTGGCAAGGGGAAAGGAGTCAGGGGTGGGGATGGGGAGAGCTCATCCCCACCAAATGCTCTAAGTGAGTTGGAAGCGAGCTGATCGATCAATCAAGCTGTGCCTACTTGCTGCCTTTTGTTCTGACAAAGCGATGCTCTCATCACCTTGGCCATCAGATGAAAAAGTGCTGGCAGCTTCCCCAGGGATCCCTGCGCTGGGACAAGCTGCCTTCAGTCCCTTGTTTGGTCTTGAGCTAAATGAGGAGGGAAATTGAGATCTGAATTTGTAGCCTAAACATGTTTGTTGGTGTGTGTTTTTTTTCATTGTAATGTAGGCGAGTATTAACTTCCTCTTGTGCATGAGGGCAGAGGAAGTGAGGCAGTTTCACTTAGAGCTCTCAGTAGTAGACAACTTCCTCTGTGGCTCCCGAGGATGTGTTTGTGCTTTAACTAAAGGACTGCCTTTTAATCTGCTGTCCGAGCCAAAAAAAAAATATCTTACAGTAACTATGGATTCCCATTCTTGCAGGCATCAAAGGTGAAAATGGACTAAAGTCTGTCTGCTAAAATGAACAAAGGAAGTTTAGTGATGAAATATTTCCCTCCTGTCTGTGCTAGGTGGTAAGAGTAAGCATCTTTCCCTGTCATTCAGAGCCCCAGTGATTTTGGGTCTGTATCCTAATGGGTGAATATACTTCAGAAAGAAGCACTGAGTCTGCTGTCCCTGAGAGCTTCTGGGGTGCTTCCTGAAACTCCGAACCTCTGAAGACCTGGCTGTGCCGTGGCAATGCTTTGTCTGCTGTCTGCTGGTGTTCTCCAGCCTTGTCAGGGCTGAGTGGCAGAGAAATGAGACGTCGTGGCTTGTGATGTAAAACACAGACAGATAACTGGCACATAGAGCACTGTAATCATCGGGCTGCCAAAGATCCCCCAGATGTACTTGGTTAGGGTTTAATAGTTAAGGTAACTGAAGTAAATATTGAATGGTTGATAAAGACTTACACATTGACCTTCTGAAATCAGTATTGGATATAATTGTGCTGGTTATCAGTTTCCTGACTAATTAGTATTCAGCATTGTTTCAGGTTTAAAAAAAATAAATCACAAAAGGAGTAGAATATAAGTAGCACATCTCTTATGAGAAGAAACCTCTGACTGCATGGAGGCTTCCTAGTCTGGGCAGAGCTTAGCACAGCCCAACACTTACACCAGTGTCCCCTCTTGTGTTGATTTCTTACTGAGTGACACAGGCCAAGGCAAGAAAACCCTGCTATCTATGAACTACTTTTATGGTCTAATACAAGTAGTGGCCCAGGCAGCATCTGATAGCACAGTACAGCAGGGGAGCTGTGCTGCACTGCATGTCAAAATGCTGATCAGCCCAGCACTGCTGCACTCAGAAGAGCTGAGCTGCAGGAATACGGCTGAGGAAAGCCAAAGGTTGTCTCTGAGTATCTGAAAGCTGCATGGGAAAGCAAAGTCTAAAAGATACCCCTATGCTCTTATCTGAATGCAACATTAAGAGTAGATGGAGATTGATAAAGTCGAACAGCAAAATCCTTCTTGATTATGACATCTTTGTCCTCCTGTAATGAAGTGAAATGCACCAAAACGCACTGCCATGGTTCTATTAATGGGCTGTGTTGCAGCAGAAAATTGGTGCAGGGTTTGGGATGATGTATGCTGTTTGGTGCACTCCTTGGCATCTTGCAATTGGAGCTTTATTTCATTAGAGCTGTGCTTTCTCTCATCTTATCCACTACAGATTAACTATGTGTTTCTGGCTTGCAGAGTGAGTGGCCTTGAAGTATTGTGAAATGCTTCAGTAAATCAATACTTTCAAAGCCTTGGCAGTGCCATGTAAAATTTCAGTAAAAGAGTCGGAGAGTCAGGGGAGGCTCTTGCTGCTGGTTTGAGCTTTCTCTTGGGTGTTTCTGAAGGCCTTCCCTGGGCTTCTTTACACTCAGGATCTCCTCCCTGTTAATGCCAACTCTGCCATGCGGTAGTAAATACTGACAGCAAGGCATAGGTAACTACAAACACCAGGCTGAGTACTCAGCATTTTCTCTTTGCCCTTCTGCTGTAAACCCAGGAGAATTGAGCACGTTGCTTTATGCTGCAGGTATAAGAAGTGGAGTAGGACCCAGTCCCTGAATCCTAAGGCTCAATGACTCCTAGCGTGCTGGATGTGAATCTCCATCTGCATGCAGGACGTCTCACAGGTACCCTTTGCTTCTGGGTTATGCAACTGATAGGCAGGTGTAAGTGGCCCAGTCCAAAACTAATCTCCAAATGGAAGAACAGTGGTGGTGAAAAGGAAGGGAAAGGCTTTTCAGTCAGTGCCAGGACTCTTTTGGATGCAGATAATCAGCGTATCTGAAAACTTAATCCAAAAGCTTTCAAGGGTGGTATCAAAAGGCAACAATATATTTAGTTTGACCCTGATGTACACTTGGCATTCTGCTATGGTACATTGGAGTATGTGGATGAAAAATTAACATGTTTCAAAACTATCGGTCTGCAACCGTTGGTTCCAGGGCCAGCTTGCTATAGGGCTTGTGCCCACGTATTACAAATACCGCCTGGTTTAGTTGAGTCCCCCAGAAATATCCCGCAATAACCTTGAGCTTGGATTTTCTCTGTCTCGCTTAAGAGAGTCTGGAACAGCAGAACCAGAAATCACTCCAACTGGTACCTCCAGGATGCAAAGTGAAGTCTCTTCTCTGGACACTGTTTCTTTTGAGCTACGGGGTTGACTTTCCCATCCAAGCAACTGGGGAGAATGGAGCAATGCAATGAAATCAGGGGGCTGGATCTGCTGTGAAGCAGGGCTCTGCACAGCTGCATTGGGTGTACCCCTCTCCTGGCTTCATCAGCGGAGTAGTTGAGGGAGGAACTGCAATCTGTCAAAGCAGTAAGAGGCAGGAATTAAATGCCTCCTGTACACAGGGCAAAAACCTTTCCTGGGCCTGAGCTGGCTGAAGGCAGCGTGGCATTGCTGAAGTTAGTGGTGGGTCTTTGGATCAGGCTTTGCACTGTCCTGTGTCTCAGGAAGGAGATTAGACTAGTTTAACGTTTGTGTAAGGTGTGTGCTTTTTTTCCCAGCGCAATACCACGGAGAATGAGATTTCTCCCTGTGTTTTGACATCTCCTGTCCTTACTGATCCCAGTTCAGGTGTGTTCTCCCTGCATCTCCCCAGCGTGTGTTTGCCTGAGCAGGCGTGCTGACTCCTGAGCAAGTTCCAGCCTGCCCCCCAAATTTAGGCTGGCTTAGGTGGGAGCAGAGCCTGTTAGAGAGGCTTCTGCAGATGTCTGACTTGCTTTTCATTCCTTCCCTTGCTAAGAGCAACATCACCAGGTGAGAAAACCCAGCAGGCAATCAAACGGCTCAGCCTCCACCTTGTCGGGAAACAAGGCTGCGCCGAGAGCGAGCGCTTGCTTTTTAGCCACAATCCTATAGGATCAGGGTTCTTGCAGTGTCAGGGATTTAAGATTTTTGAACTCCCCATCCCCCCCCCCCCCCCTTTTTTTTTTCCCTGCCTGTCTGAGCAGCTCTGGGCTCCCCCGGCATCACTTCAGCGCAAGGACCCGTCTGACACTACTTATGCCAGGTCCTGCCTCCCGCGCAGGAGAAGCAGTCTGCAACTTTTGCTGCTCCAGGCAGCACTTCATCTCTGAGCAAGCAGAGCTCTGCAGAGTGGATTTGGGGTAAGAGAGGCAACTTCTGAGGGAGGGAGGGTTTCCTAGCCGGCTTTAATGGAAGCTTGTTCTCTGCATGCTTTTTTTTTTTTTTTTAGGAAGGAGGCATTTTAAGGGGAGGCTGTGGTCCTTCCCCCCACCTCCCCCCTCCACCCGCAGGGTTGTCTTTTATAATTGATAAAAGATGAAAAGGAGTCCAACTTATGGTGGGGGATTTGCTAATTAAACTTCATCCAGTTTGTGTCCTTCCTGCCTTTTTCATTCTCCCTGGGACCTGCATGAGGGAGGCTGAACCAGAACCGATTCTTTTTTTTTTTTTCTGAGCCGTTTTTTTAAAACGATACCGAGAAGGGGGAGGAGGGGGGCAAAAAAAGGCAAACCCACCCCCCTGAAACGACTCGTCGGGAGCTGCGTTTTTGCATCCTCTCTCCCGAAAGCTGTTCCAGGCAGGTGCTGGGCTCTGGTGCCGCCGGGCTGGTGCAGTTGTGCTGCAGTCCGAGCCCTGTGCTGAGCTGCAGAGCCTTTGCAGGAGCGCATCAGGACGCGCCGACCTGCTGCTGCTGCTGCTGGTGCAGTGCCTCGGCAAGGGAAACTTCTGCAGCCCCCCCTCCGGCACCTCCACCCCTCTCAGCTCTCCCCAACCCCCCCCCGGCACCCCACCATCACCTCCCCCAGCCCTTTGGGGGAGCATCACGGGGAGGCCGGCTGGAGCAATGCGACCCTGCGGCTTTAACGGCGCTGCGCTCTCCGCTTTTAGCCTCCTGCGGAGCCCGGCCTCGACCGCGGCCTCCCCGGCCTCTACGGGGGCTTCCCCCGGCCTCTTTGGGGGGGTTTTGGGGGTGTCCGAGCTCGGGCCTCCCCTCCCCGCAGCCTCCCCCTCGGTTCCCCTTGAGCGCCCCCGGGGTGCGCGCTCCCGAGCCCGCGGGCGCTTATCGCCTTCCCACGGCCTCCCGGAGTCCAACGGGGGATGCTCAGCGCAGCCTTTGCTCTCCCTACCCGAGCACAAGTTGTGTTTTTATCTTTTTAAATTTTTATTTTTATTTTATTTTTATTTGGAGGCTCCAATGTCGCTTGTGTTAGTGGTGCGGGGCGTGATTGCGCAGCCGCGAAGCACAAAAATTCACCTGGATGCGAATGGTTGGTGGCAACTTGGGGTTTCCATACATAAAAACACAGGTTTTTAACCGAAATGTGCCTTCCTGCCCACTCCGCGGGCTTGGTAACCGAATGAATGAATGGGGCAAGGGGGAAAAACTGCAGTTTGTGCAACTGCTGAATCTGTTGAAATAGTGGTGAAGTCAGCGGGGCTGAAGTCCCTGTAGGTCTGGATTTCAGCTCATACCCCACACTGGGGGAAGCTGCTCAGCCCGACTCAGATCCTTGCTGCTGCTGGATGACATTAGCCGGGTCTGGAATGACCAAATATTTGACTTCCCCCTTTTTTTTAGCGATGTCTCCTGACGACAGGAGGGGTGTTCTTGTCCCCGCTGGGGCAGAGGCAATTACTGGTGTCTGCGGTTCTGTTTGAGTAGTAGTGTATGTTTATATTGATTAGATCTATAACTGGGGTGGGTTTTTTTATCTTGCGCTTGCACAAGGACTGGGAAAAGTCAGCCAGATCAGTAGGAAAGGTGAGCGTTGCCCTCGTCGCAGAGGAGGGAAGCTGGGACCAGAGCTCGAACTCTCAAGGTCACGCAACGCAAGCCGGTGGTAGAGGCGAGCCCCTCAGCACCCTCAGCTGCAGAGGCTTTTTTATCTTCAGTGAAACCGGCAGATCTTCCATCAGAGCTCTCTGGCCTCGGTCCTGAAGACCCAAGAAGAGTCAGAGATGACGTAAGGACCAAGCCTTTAACTTTGCATGATGTAAATCAAGCGCTAAAGTAACTGAAAGCCTCAAATGGCTGCGATGCAGGCACTTTTTGCACCCTGCTAAGGCTGTTACTCCTGTTTTCCTTATGTCATCACATTAATGAGCAAAGATACTTCAATTCATTTGCAAAGTACTTAGACATAAGTTTGGCATTTATAAAGGACCACTCAAATTGGTAGAATGAGACCAAAATCAAAATAACTGAGCTAACACCAGGCTTGGTGTAAATTGCCAAGGGATAAGGAGTGATGGGGTGTTCTGAAATGTGGGTACTGAGAGGGCATCTGTCATAAAATCAGATCATTCTCTGCCTTTAAAACTGCTACTTAAAAAACAGTGAAGTGCTCTGGAATTGAACAGGAGAACAGGCTTCACTGGAGTTGGTACAAGTGACAAAAGCATGAGAACTGTAGACACGCAGCTAAATTTTCTGGAATTTGGCTTTTTGGAAGTCAGTATGAGAGCCTATTGGAAGGCCTTGCATTGATTCCTTGCAAACTTAGCACGATGACTGTACCAGATATAGAGAATAATGATCATAGAGGACAAAAATGAGCCAAATTGAGGCTTGTGCCTTTCAAGTAGGAGTCCCTGTTCTGAAGTGCCATCCTACTGGGGCTTCTATTCAGGTGAAGTGTAACTGATTGCGTACAGCCAAAAGCAAGGTAAGAGCAAAAACCCTTCAGTGCTGAGCAGTGGGAGGAGAAGTTGCAAAAGGTGAACCAAGAGGAGGGGAAAGGAAGGGGGGTGTGCTTGATGCTCTGCCCTACTACATCCTATGCTGCTCCAGGCTTTACCTGCCTGGGGAGGGATCCTCAGCAAACAGTAAGTCTTAGCTGGAGCTCACAGCACCTCGAGCACCACCCTAGACTTATGCTGGGTTGCTATAGGCATAGCACAGGATAGATACCTAAAAAGAATGACTGTAACAAGTCAGTGTAGTGAAAAGCCTGACTCGGTACCTACATTGTGCTTCTGGAAATCTAAACTCAGCTGCAGCTAGTGAAAGACTGCTGTGGTTCATTTCCTCCTTCAATGCTGTCTCTCTTCTGGAAAGCAACTCTGTGTTTTTGACTGCCATATTGTGGCTGGAGTGGGTTTTAGCATTTTGGGCTGCCTGGGGTATTTGCCACTGTTAATGGTGTCTTTATAGGAGCATAAAGTGTTTTAAGAAAGTACTGGCGTTATAAAATGTAAGGAAAATTATTCCCAGTGCCTGCTCTTAGGGCTCACGAGCTTGCATAAAGATCTGTCGTACCAAATTCTTTGTGGTTAAGGCCAGCATTGCTACCAGAGCATCAGATTGCTCTGCTCTACTATATGCTTAATGAGTGGGACTTAAACGGTGGTTTACTTGTGGATACCAATCCCCCATTATCTGTTTGCAGTGGCTGGTATCACAATAGTTAAAGACTGAGTCAAATGACAGCAGGTATTTTTGGAGGAGAAGGTCATGGGTTCTGAGTGGTGCCCCACTGCAGAAAGCACACATCCTTTAAATAATTGGAAATGTCTGCAGTTTAACTCTTGCTCTTGATGGTGCCGTGAAGTCAAATCAAATGTAGTATAGTGCAAATGTTGCTTATTTCCAAGCTGTGTGCGCTTCTTCCCCCAGGCCCCCTAATTAATGATATACTTCCCGGATATTGTGTGGCACTGCAGCAAACTTGCCATAAATTATTGCCTTCCAAGAGGTCTGGATTGGAGCGAAGAAATAGAAGTGTTGTGAGGAAGGGCCTGCTGTATTTTACAAAGGGGGATTTAAAAATCACTGCTGGACCCCAACTGGAGAGCCACTGGGAATGCTGGTTTCGGTGGGGAATAGGGGAGATGCACTTGCCCTTCCCGAATAACTGTGTCAAGCACTTAGCACTTCTGCCCATTTTCCCACTGACCTGAAAGGCTTGGAGTGGGGCAAGGGAGAGAGGCTGCTGCTTGCAAAACCTCTGCAGATTCATCCAGTTGGCTCTTGCACTGCAGAACCCGGAGCGATGGGGAATGCAGGGGGCGGAGGGAAGTGTTGGCTGTCTCCGTTGTGCAATGTGATGCACCAGTGTATTAAAAAGCCTTACCAGCTGCTGTAAATTGCTTTCTGCCCATCCCCATCTGACATGTGAACACAAGAATTCCCATGTGCCAGGAATCTTAATGGTTTTTCCCTCTACTTCTGTGCCTGGGCATAAATGTCCTTAAGATGCAATTTTTCCAGCTAAACCCTTAGAATTTCTAATTATGCTACGAGATCAGAGCTGCAGCAGGCTTGCCATTCGGCTGCCCTCCTTGTGCCTTTCCCCTGCTTTTCAGACAACTGATCTTTTGAGAAGGAAGAGTCCCTGCTGCTGAGTGAGCAAGAACTGAAATTTGGCAAATCTAAATGGGTTTGAATTTGCATCAATATTCTGCTGCAAGTAACTGTTTATAAACTGAGGGCAAAGCTTACCTCATCTTAAAAGCTTACGTGTGATGAACAGAAAGTACTCTGTTCTCGTCTGAAAGATCAAAATTGAGAAAGGTTGTGCTTATTGAAGATGCCCTTCATTTGGCTCAGCAGTGTTTGTGTTGAATCCTGGGGCGGGGGGGAAGGTCCCTGCCCCATAAAACTTGGTTGAATATATTCAGCAGAATATATTCAAGAGGAGCATGGATTTGGCCTTGAATGAGCTGTTGACCTTGAATTGTTGGTGAAAAATTTGAGGCCTAAAATACACGGATTGTAATTTAGCACCAGTCAGAACTTGTCAATACCTTTTTTAAAAGATGGGGAGTCAGCTGATTAAATGCACTTTGATTAAACGGGGGGGATTAGCTGGAGAGACATCTCCAGCTGTGAAGGTCACTGTCAGAACAGGGGGAAAGTTGCTGGTTGGGGTCATCCCCAAAGTGCTGCTTTGGCTCGTGTGGAGCTGCCAGGCTCAGAAATGCTTCCTCACACATCCCTGCTCCCAGGGGATGCCCGACTGCAACTTTACACATAGTGCTGAACACACTTCTTTGGGTAGAAGTCACTGCTGTGCTACTGCAGCAGTGCTGTCAGCAGCGGGGCATGCAGCAAGAGCCTGTGTCTCCTTCGTGCAGTGTCTGGAGCTGCTCGCTGTGCTTCAGAGCAACCTTTGGGTGGCTCCAGGCAAAGGGGGGCTTGGGACAAATGTCCTTGAGCAGGAGGGCAGGAGGAGGCTGGGCACTGAGACCTCTCCCTGGATTAACCTGGGTTGTGGATGAGCTTGTAAGTTAGAACAGCGGGTTGCAGCCTTGAGGGGATGGACCTGGGGCTGAATTTCAGGCCGTGATCCTAGCCTGAGGCCTTCTTACAGAGCCAGTAAAATCAGCATCCCTCAGGGCAAAAGTGCTCTGCAGAGAAGCTGCGTAAATGAGGTTACGGCATGCCGAGGGTAAAACCGAGCAGGATCCTTGTGTACACCTGGTTTAAAGGAGTTTAAAGGAGGGGTGGTGC